AGATTCAATATTCCAGTGTTCCCAGTAGTCCGTGTCTAGAAAATGTCTGCACTAAATACAGCAAAAGAACATTCTCTGCTTCTCTCCTCTAACGATGTCTAGAAAATGTGTCTGCACTAAATACAGAAAAAGAACATTCTCTGCTTCTCTCCTCTAACGATAAACCCTAATCTTGCAGTGAAAGAGGCTGAAGTTCTGACCCAGGAGCGTGTGATGGTGTCAGAAGCCATCATGACCGCGCTGGGGTAAGTGGTTGGCCACCCACACTGACGTGGAGCAGCACAGGGACCGCCCTGCAGAAGTTCCCATGAGTCACTTGTAGGCAGTGCTCATTTTGGAAACCTTCTATTCCTGTCTCAGCACCAGGGTTAAAGTGCCTTGAGGTCCTAGGATGGAAAGTGCTAGAAATAGGCTAGTATTTCCAGTCAGCCATTTCTGCTTGAGCAGTAGGGAGGACAGGAAAAAGGACAAAACAAATATAAAAATTTGGATAGGACATATAAAATTATCCCTACTTGTTTATCTTCTAAGCAGAATGCCAAAAAAATTCACAGGGTCAAGGTCTGACTGTTTCTTACCAACACTGAAATGCACTGATGTGTCACAGAAAAAAGAAGTAATGCAGAAGGTGTACTCACAAACTTCTTGTTTACAAATGCACCTGAAGAATAGCTTCCTTGATTCACCTCTCTTGGCTTGGCTATTAGTCATATGCGGTCTGAAAACCAGTATCCAGCTGATCACACATTAGCTTCTAGAACATGTCCAGCCTGAAAGGCTTGGCTAGTCTTCCTCTGAAGTCTGAAGCAAGAAAAGAAATCTTGCATGTGAATTCAGCTATTCCACTGCAACTTCTCCCAAGGATGTCTTATCAAAGAATTAAAGCAGATGAGCTTGCACAATGGAAATTTATATCCTATTTCAAAAAAGCACAGGAACAGCGGGCATGTTGACATCAGGATAATTATTATCTTGGCAGACATGTAGTCTTCTGAAACATCACAATCCTAATCAGAAGCAAGCAGTTGGTAGTTCTTCACACCTGACAATATAGTCTCCTGCCCCTTTCTTGCTGGCATGAATTAGTTGGGCACTGGTAAAAGCTGCCTGCACAGCAAGGGTCTCTTTGGACCTCAAAACCAGTGCAGAACCAGTAGCCAGCTTGCTTGCCCAAGACACGGGCATCCTGATGCGATGGGAGCAGATCTCTTGGCAGAGCAACAGAGTCTGCATATTCTCATCCTTGGTTTCCTGACCAAACCACTGGAAATTATTGAGATCAGTGAAAACTGTCTGAGACAAGAGAATCCCACTTGACATAAAGTCTCCAGCTGTGATAGTTTTTTTTCTTAGTGTCAGCTGGGAAGAAAGTTCCAGTGAGAGATGGAGGTTACTCTGTTGTGCAACCCACTCCTCAAGGAGCTAGGTCTTCTCAAGCTAAATAAAAGCCAAGAATCACAGAATCACAGGATTTCAGGGATTGGAAGGGACCTCAAAAGATCATCTAGTCCAGCCCCCCTGCCAGAGCAGGATCACCTACAGTAGGTCACACAGGAACGTGTCCAGGTGGGTTTTGAATGTCTCCAGAGAAGGAGACTCCACAACCTCCCTGG